GGGGGGGGGGGGGGTGCTCTTCATTCTGCTTGCACGTGACCAGGCTGAAAGAAGGGACTGTGGGGACAGAGGGGCTTCTGTGTCGAGGCCACTTGGTACTGGTATCCTGCTCTGGCTTTTCTTGTCCAGGCAGCCAATCTCACAGGAAGTGAGGACAGTGTCTTTCCCTGGGTGCCACCGCCATATTGCCTGACAACCAGCCAGCTTCCCATTCTCAGCTGGCTGCAGCTGCAGGTGACAGATGTGAAGGGACAGTTGTCCACAAGACACTGGGTGGCTGGGAAGCTGAGGAAAGGCCACCACAGCTCCCCCATCCGTGTCACTTTCTCCTGAGGGCACAGCCACAAGAGCCTGTGACTGCCCTCCTGGCGAGGGGACCCTTCCCACCCAGAGGAGGACAGGGGTGGCTTTGGCCCTCGGCCGACCTTCTGGGCCCAGGAACAGCAGGCTCCAGATGGGCAGCCTGGCCCCGCGGGCACGCAGCTGGGTAGACGGCACGAGGACACGACAGACAGAGCGGCCCTTTTCCAAGACGGCGGCCCAGGGCAGCCTCTGTGCAAGCAGGTTCTCCTCATTTAGACCAGCTACGAGGTAACAGGAGAATGTAGAAGGGAAATTCATTCTCGAGCCATATGCCTCCGCAGCAGATTTGGTACTTTCTTCCTCTTTTAAAATCTGGTAGAGAATACGGTTTGTTCCAGTCTCTTCCATGCAGTCCTGCGCTTCTGCTCACGTTTTTGAAAGGACTTAGAGACTTGGGCGGTTTCACGCCCTCTCCTTCCCTGCCTCTGTTAGGACCGTCGGGGCAAGCAGCTCCGCTGGCACGATGATGACCCCGCTGGGGAGGCCTGTGCACGCTCCTGGCTGAGGGTGACATCAGGGCCCAAGTCTTAAACAGAGGAAGGAAGCTTGCCTTCAGAGCCAGCATGGCGCAGGTGTCCTGAAAGTCACCCAAGCCACCAAGTCAAATAAAATCCACCCGTATTTAGATGGTCTTGTGTGTACGGGGGGGGGAATGTGAAAGCAAATGACAATGGCATGCCGTCCCCCAGGGTCACGCCCTTTGCTGGAGACATCCTTGTGGTCCTGCTGGTTGTGAATAAAGGATAAGCCTTGCATTTTTCAGTGGCCTTCCGACTCCTCAGGAAAGCAAAGAGCGGAGGTAGACAGGAACATCGAGCAGGCCAGAGGCCATGTTACCCTCGAGATGACCAGAAACACGTCCAGGACTGGGACCCAGTTAATCCTGTGAGTTCTTGGCAGTGATGCCAGGCTGGGCATAATAGCACTCCATTGTTGTGGGACTAGCCCAGCAGCCACATCTTGATTCTGTGTTGTTGAAGTCTTGACCTGTCAGCCTCCAGGCAGTCTCTGAACTGCTGACTGCACCTGCAGAGACATGGAGAAAACACAAGCACATGTCTCCAGTGTGGTCCCTGTGGACAGAGGGAAAGCAGAGGGTCCGTGACATGGATTCACTCCGTGGTGAAACTTGAGAGAGGGTAGAGTGGTTGCAGATGAACAGCAAAGGAGCGTAGTGGAGAAATCTCTCCTGTTCTCCCCAGTAAATGCACTCCCCTACAGATTCCTCACATGCCACTGGCTGGCGCGGCCTCCCCCTGCCATGGCCTGGGAGCAGCCAGGGCCCAGCAGGCTGGGAGAGCTGTCGGGGCCCACCCAGCGCCTCCCTCATGTAAAGGCAGCTGCTGTTTCTCCCTAAAGTCTGATTTGCAAATGTCTGGTCATTTGGGGAGAAGGAAAGATAGTCTTTTAGAGATGAGAAGAGTATCCACGTGGGATCCAAATACACTAAGTTCACCAGGTGAGAGCTAGGTGGGTCTTTGGGGAAAAGTAAATACCACCCAGGCCTCTGCACCACACCCCTGCGGGAATCCACTCCCAGGCACACGTTTACATTCCAAGGCTGAAGGCTAGAAATACACTTTTTAAAATACCAACAACTTATTCATAAATGTTCCAGCTATCTGCTAGTTTCACTGAGTTAGCTGAGGTTGGATGTGAACACAATCTAAGGGGGAAAAAAAATCAAATACGTGAACAAACCAAGACATTTTAAAAGGTCATCTGGAGAGCTAATCATAGAGCTCCTAAGATTTCTCCATGAAACCTGTCAAGGGAAGCTGTAGAGAGGAGACTTTGGAACTCCAGAAAAACTGTGAGCATCAGGTGGATTGTGGCTTCCCTGGAAGCTGAGCCCAGCTCTCTCGCCCCCTGATTTCTTCTGCATAGTACTTGTTCTCATTTGCTTCACTCACAGCAAGGTATAACTGGTAACAGCTTAAATTAGGACCCTTGGTAGCGAATGTAATAGGTCGGGAAAGGTTTGAGATCCAGTCAGATAGCGGGGGTCAGCCAGTACAGTGGAAAGGATTTGACCCAAATCAAAAGAGCTAAATTAAAAAAAAATTTTTTTTTAAATAAGATTAATGCAAAAAAATTTATGATAAAATATAAATCTTTTTAATAAAATGTCTGACCCTGAACTTGTATGACCCTACCCGGCTTGCCTAAACCTAATCCTAACCCAATTCCAATAAAAGTTTATTTACAAAATAGGCAGCTGGTAAATGGGCCATAGCTTGCCAATTTGATTTTTTTAAATATTGCATTAAAATATTGTTTATCTTGATTGCTGAGTTTTTTGGGTGCCCCCTTAAATTTTTATGCAGAGTAGATGCCTCACTCCCTTCAACCTATTGCTGGCCCAAGATCTGGGGGATCCTCCTGGGCCCTTCCAGTGTGCCCAATAGCATAGCCTTGTGACTGGGTGGCTGGGCGTGTTTGCACAGCCTTCTTCACCTCCCCAGACACAATTTGTGGTGGGTTCTGCAAAGGAGTGACTTGGTTAGGTTTAGCATATAACAAACCACCTCCAAAACTCGGTGACTTAAAACAACAATTTATTATGTTTATACTTATGTGGATCAGCAATCGGGGCTGGGCTTAGATGGGTGGTTCTTCTGCTGAGTTTGGCTGGATTCAATTGTGCGTCTGTGGTCAGAAGGCAGTCAACAGCCTCACTCATGTCTAGCTGTTGGCTGGGCCCTTGGTTCTCCTCCAGTGAGGCCTCTCATCCTCCAGCAAGCTAGCTTGGGCTTGTTCGCTGGGTGGCCTCAGGGTTCCCACTGCAGTAAGAGAGATCAAGTCCAACAGCTGTTCAAGTCTCTACTCCATCATGTTTATTTTTCTCCCACCAGCCAAAGCAGATCACATGGCCAAGGTCTTCTGTATGGAAGGACATGGATACAGGGAAGCTAGAGGAACTGGGGGCATTGCTGCAGTAATCAACCACATAGAAGGTGTTGAAAACCTACCTCACTTATCAGAAGTAAATCTTTCAGGATTGTTTTTCACTTTGGCATAACCTCCCCATTTTAATTCAATTGAACAAAAATATCCTTTGGGGCTGCTCTGTGTTAGGATGTGAAGAGACAGTCCCACTGGTCCCCAAGTTACTATCCATCTTCTAGGGAGGATTCTGGCCTTTGTGGATGGCCACAGTCCAGGCCAGCATGCCAGCCCCAGATAGGAGTGATGGGCAGATCTCCAGGAGGTGGTCGTGGCATTGGTAAAAAGTCAGGGCTAAAGGGGCTTATACAGAGTCATCTCTTCAGGGTGTCATTAAATCCTGGGAGTGGATAGGCTCTCAGAGGAGTGGATGAGAGAAATAAGAATCCCAGGACAGACCAGGGATGTGAGGAAGAAGACCAGGGCTGCAGGCTCCAGAACCCAAGGAGGAGAGAAAGCAGGGCACGGAGGGCAGTCGCAAGGTCAGCGCCACGGAGGTGGCTGCCTGCACCACCTCTGAGAGCAGCTTCCCTACAGCTGGGGTCATGGGTCAGCCCGGGGTCAGCAGGCACCAGAGCAGGCCGACGCTGAGGGCGTGGGGTCGGAGGGGAGGCCGGGGTCCTGAGCGCTGGGAGCGGGAGTCCCCAGGCCCTGCTCTGGCCCTGGGCAGGAGGCACCAGTGGGCCGGAGCCAGCCTCGAGTTCTCTGAGCTGGTTTTAAACGTAGCCATTACCAAAACTTAAATGATAGAAACTTACACTTCCATAAATTCTATTAAAAGCAAAGGAATACTCAAAACTCCTCCCTTCCTAATGGCTCACTGCCCTTACTGTTGTCCGTCCTGCAGGTGGTCTGCGTCTGTCGTGTGTCTGTGGTGGAAATACGACACAGAGATGACCACCAGGCATCTCTTCCCAACTCTGTGGTCAGGGGCATCACTGTGGTAGCCAAAGCCGTGGTACTTACCCCACGGAAACTGGCAAACGCTAAAACCAGAGCGTTATTCCCCCCAGAGAGCCGGTTGTTAAACATTTACCTGCACACCTCTGGCGGTCGCAGGGCCAGAGGGGCAGCCTCGGGGGCAGCATGCTGGGTGGCCCAGGGACCAGGCTGGGGAAAGCCGGATGGAGCAGGGCAGTGTGTGCCCCCAGAGTAGTGAAGCCAAGGGTGCCCTGTGCAGTGGGTGGTGGCAGCTGCTCCGGGAGTCTCTGCCCTCATCTCCACATCCTCGGATCGCTGACGTTGGCCCAAAGCACCGGCGTCAGTTCACTCTTGGACTTTCACCCCCCAGGAGGCAGCCCAGAGCCTTTCTCCCTGAGTTACGTGATAACTGACAGCTTTGTGCACTTGACCTGGGTGTTCCCCGACACCTTCCCGCTCGGCTTGCTGCTCCCGCTGTCCTCCGTGCCTCCCAGACACACATCTACCCACAGGCTGCAGGGCGTGGAGCTGCTCTTGGTGACCGGTCAGCGGGAATGATTCACTTCCTGGGAGTGAAAAGGGCCTGCCAGATGCACAGTGGGACTCTGAGGTCTTTGTGTTCCTGTTCTTAAACAGCCAGGCATGGGCAGCACTGGCCAGGGCTGAAAGGGACACAAGTGTAGGGTGCTTCCCTCAGACTGCAGGGCCCTGAGCAGTGCCAGCCCAGGCCTGTGCTCAGGCAGCAGCGTCTTCGAGGGAGAAGCCAGGCAAAGGCTTACAGGTCCAGAGGGGCAGGGCCGGGGACCCTGGTTTTCCTGGCAGAAGGCAGGGGTAGAGTCTGGAAAAGTGCCTGAGCCGAAGGCAAGAAGAGCAGGGTCAAAAGGGGGGTGGGCATAAAGTCAGGGACACCGGCACCACTCCC